TACAGATACAAGTAAGTGCACAAAGGCACAAAAGAAAATTACAGGGGGGGGCATCAAGAGAAAGCCCAAAACTAGAAGAAAGAAAACAAGATGGAGGGGAAGGCTGGCAATAGAACCAAACCGAAACCCCTGGAGGCCGACATATCGGGTAGCGAGCTCCGCTGAGCAGCTTATTCCACCACTAACACAGATCTTTGTTGTTCATAATGTCTTGGATGAATAGCCAAAAGAAAAGGTTCTACTTAGATAGGTAGCCAGACTTGTAGATCCATTGTTAATGGGCATGCGCAAGTGGGGCATCACCAATTAGCGCATTGTAAACTCTAACGGTAGAATATTTGTGGCAGCCCATTTGAATGTCCAAACATCATTGTCACTAGTTTTACGTAGGCCAATTCATGGCTTAGGCGTTGGCACTGTTAAGTAGAAATGACAGATAAAGGTAGGTGAAACACACTATGAATATTAACAATATTTACATCTCTAGCTATTACCATAGTGATGTACCATCAACATGTGGCTAGTGGCCTACACGGTGATAGAGTATGGAACACAGTATTTAAGGAACGTCCCCTGGGAGTGTTTTCCCTGCAAACGACTCGAATTGTCATGCAATTTCAACTAAGATTATCATGGAAACATTACAAAACTTGCCATGACCGGAAATGAAAATTACCAAGCATAAAAAATACAATGATTTTTATTAAAACTTACCACCGACTTGATCTGAATTCAAGGGCTGTGGGTGCATTCCCTGGGTCCTCCTAACCAGGGAATGTTCCCAGTTATCATTTCTTGTACTCCCTCCATTCTTAAATATTTGTCTTTCTAGACATTTCAAATGACTACTACATACGGATGTATGTAGACATATTTTAGAGTGTAGATTCACTCACTTTGCTCCGCATGTAGTCACTTGTTGAAATGCCTAGAAAGACAAGTATTTAGAAACGGAGGGAGTAATATATAAGAGGAAAAGGTATAAGGTGAAAAAGTGACAAGATGCTCAATACCTGAGCCATATACGATCCCAATAATACAAGTGCGACCGAATTAATTTCATGACTCACAAACATACAAGTGCACAACCACGGCCATTATATTACACGTCTTTGTAGCGTCTCAGGTGTTCCTCGAGCTCGTGGATGTACTGCTCCTGGCGCCCCTCGTCCACGACAACCTCCTTCAGCTTCTTGGCATTGGTCGCCAACACCTTTCCCTCATACTCCGACATGACGCGCCGCACCGCTGTGGCGACGCCGTCCCTGTTGAAGGAGCCGTCTCTCTCGTCTCTCGCCACCTGCACACCGATCCCTCTCTGCACCATCGACCGTGCGATGATAGGCGTGTCGATGATGAACGGGAGCATGACCAGTGGAAGCCCAAACGCAAAGCTCTCGATGGTGGAGCCCCACCCGCAGTGTGTTAGGAACGCGCCCGTGGCGTCGTGCGCGAGCGCCTTCATCTGTGGCACCCACCCTGTGCAGACGACACCGCGCGCCCGCGTCCGCTCCTCGAACCCGGCCGGCAATGGCCCGGCGACTTTGTTGCTTCCAGCAGGCTTGCCTAGCAGCCAGAGGAATCGCACCTCGGCGAGCTCCAGCCCGAGCGCGAGTTCATGGATGTTCTCTAGCGTCAGTGGCGCCTCGGTCCCCAGCGCGACGTAGATGACAGACTTGGGAGGCTGGTCGTCGAGCCATCGCAGGACGTGGTGAGGGTCGACGCCACCTGAGCTGCTATTCCGGTGGTCGTCGGGTGCCGCCGGTAACAGAATCCCGGAGGGGACGGCGGGCTTCCGTAAGAGATCGGAGAGGAGGGCGAACATCCGGGGCTCCAGCTCATGGCAGCTACGGCAGATGACGAGGCGGCAACGCTCGAAGACCTGCCACGTGCGGTCTGCGTCCGACACGTCTGACGCGTTGGTGCGCAAGGTGCTGGCGATCCACTCGGCCTCGTGGCGGAGGAAGAAGGTGGTGGACGGCAAGGGGATCCACTTGGGCGGCACGGTGAAGTGCTCCGGCTCCGTGCGCGGGTGCGCGGCGTTCGCCCAACGCGGCCCCAGAAAGGCCACGAAGGCGGCATGGAGGATCTGGAACAGGGCGCATGCTACCTTGTGCTGGTCGGCGATGGGCGGCACCCAGTGGTGGCAGAAGTCGAGGACGATCCAGTCCGGCCTCCTCCCGGCGGCGACGGTGTCCATGAGAAAAGCCGCGAGCGGGGCCGCGAGCCCGTCCATGGCCTTCTTGAGCAGGTCGATCTTGTCGGTCGGCACGTCGGCCGTTGACTCGGCGCCCTCCGGCAGCCCCTCCACGGCCGGCAGCTGCAGCGGCATGAAGCGGAGGCGGGCTGACAGGTGCGCCGGCATGGGCGGGAGCCTCGCGAGGTTCCGTGGCGTGGACACGAAGGTGACGGCGTTGCCCCTCTCCGCCAGGCGCTTTGAGAGCTCAAGAAAAGGGATCATGTGCCCGAACGCTAGCCACGGGAACACCACCACCTCCAGCCCGCCTGCCGCACCACCGGCAGCAGCATCCATCGTCTCCGTGCCTGTCACTGGATGCAACGAGACGGCGCAGCATATCGAGCTAGCGTGAGATAAAATAAAGCCGCCGTTCCAGTGAGAGCAGACCACTAACCCAATTAACTAAGGGAGGATAAGAGCTGGCCACTAGCATCCATGGTGGGCGTGAGGGCTTTTACTTTTTTGGATGATGGCGGGTGGGTGCTGAGCTACACCATGATGAAACATCCAGATCATGACGGGCATGTGCTACCGATGCGATGACATGCATGGGGCCTTGCAGAGCACAGCACAGCTTGCACTCGGAATTGACATCGACGTGGTCCGAATCATGCGAGCAGATTTTCTAGCGGAACAGATTGTTGAGTATATATATTTGTGTTGCATGTATTTTGTATTGTGATCCACCTCTTAGTTGTGTATAGTTAAGGTTGAGGCTTACATGTACTTAGATACGTGCACCGGCACCCTATCAATACAACGATTATTGTATTGGCAAACCATCTCTCTACATGGTATCATCTTGCAGGTCCTGACCTAGCACCAGCCGCCGCCGCAGCTGCCGCGCCTCCTCGCGCGCCGCCGCACCCGCCACCGCTTCCCACCACCACAGCACCCCGCCGCCGCCGCGTCCTACTCTGACGCTGCCACCGCCCCGTGTCGCCGCGCCACTTCCGCTCCAAGCCGCCGCTGCGCCTCCTCGCGCACTGCCGCCGCCGCTCCCCGCCGTCGCCGCACTTGCCGTCGCCGCGTCCTCCTCTGACGCCGCCGCCGCCCCGTGCCGCCGTGCCACTGATCTAACGCCGTCGCCGCGCGTCTCCTGCCGCGTCGCCGCTGCCCCATCCGCCGCCACCCTACTAGGTCTAGCCGCCGCCGCACCCTCCCGTGTGTCGCCGCCCCCCTTCCTCTTCCCACCGCCACTGCCGCCTTTCTTGCCGCAGCCGCCGTACGTCGTAGCCGTTGCAACCTCCTGCCGCCGCTACCTTCCACCTCGCCGCCTTCCATGGAATCTTCGGGCTCCTTCACCACCCACGGTGGCCCCGCTCCACCGGTCGCGCCGACCCCGCCGCGTCCTCCCGCACCCGTCGATATTAACTATTGCCGCCCCCTGCGCCTCCCCGCGCCTCCCCAGCAGCCGCAATGAGGAGGTGGGCTGATGAAGGAAATATGCCCTAGAGACAATAATAAAGTTATTATTTATTTCCTCATATCATGATAAATGTTTATTATTCATGCTAGAATTGTATTAACTAGAAACATAATACATGTGTGAATACATAGACAAACATAGTGTCACTACTATGCCTCTACTTGACTAGCAAGTTGATCAAAGATGGTTGTGTTTCCTAGCCATAGACATGAGTGGTCATTTGATTAACGGGATCACATCATTAGGAGAATGATGTGATTGACTTGACCCATTACGTTAGCTTAGCACTAGATCGTTTAGTATGTTGCTATTGCTTTCTTCATGACTTATACATGTTCCTATGACTATGAGATTATGCAACTCCTGTTTACCGGAGGAACACTTTGTGTGCTACCAAACGTCACAATGTAACTGTTTGATTATAAAGGAGCTCTACAGGTGTCTTCGAGGGTACTTGCTGAGTTGGCGTATTTCGAGATTAGGATTTGTCACTCCGATTGTCGGAGAGGTATCTCTGGGCCCTCTCGGTAATGCACATCACTATAAGCCTTGCAAGCAATGTGACTAATGAGTTAGTTGCGGGATGATGCATTACATAACGAGTAAAGAGACTTTCTGGTAACGAGATTGAACTAGGTATTGAGATACCGACGATCGAATCTCGGGCAAGTAACATACCTATGACAAAGGGAACAACATATGTAGTCATGCGGTTTGACCGATAAAGATCTTCGTAGAATATGTGGGAACCAATATGAGCATCCAGGTTCCGCTATTGGTTATTTGACCGGAAACGAGTCTCGGTCATGTCTACATAGTTCTCGAACCCTAGGGTCCGCACGCTTAAAGTTTGGTGAAGATCGGTATTATGAGTTTTTGTATTTTGATGTACCAAAGGTAGTTCGGAGTCCCGGATATGATCACGGACATGACGAGGAGTCCCCAAATGGTCGAGACGTAAAGATCAATATATTG